CTGGGATTACAGGCTTGAGCCACCGCGCCCGGCCATCATTTAAACACTTTTTTTGTGAAGATGGTGTCTCACTATGTTTTCCGGGCTGGTCTTGAACTGCTGGGCTCAAGCGATCCTCTTGCCTTGGCCTGCCAAGTAGCTGGGACTCTAGGCGTATGCCACCACACCCAGCATGCATGGGGATTTTAGGCAGCAGAGGGTGGCAGGATGGGCTGCGCCGATCCAGGAGGCTCCCAGCTCTCCCCCAGCTGGGGTCTTAAGTGGCTGTAGGGCCACTTAAGTTAGCCTAGAGTTTGCATGTCCACTCTACGTATGGCAGGGGGTGGGGGTGGAGGTGCCTTCACAGAGCTCCTTTGCAGCTTCTCCTTCCTCTCTCTCCAGGGAAGAGGACCCAGATGATGTGCCCCATGGACATATCACCTCATTGGTTTGTAGAGTCCACCCAGGCTCTGGTGGGGGTGGAAGTGGGGGTTAGTTGGGGCAGCCCTCAGGGTCCCAGCCCCTCATCCCCTCTCTGCTCTTCCACCAGGCTGTGAAGCGTTCCCACCGGCGCCTCGGTCTGGCACAGAAACTGATGGACCAGGCCTCTCGAGCCATGATAGAGAACTTCAATGCCAAATACGTCTCCCTGCATGTCAGGAAGAGGTGGAAGCTGGGCTGAGGGAAGGGGGATTGAGGGGAGAGATGCTGCCTTGACGGGAGTCCTGGGGGGCCTTGGCTTTTGGTGAAGATCCGGGAGGTGGGATTGGTGGGAAGGAGGGACCAGAGGGAGGGGCAGGACCTGGACGTGCTACCCCTGCCTGGCCAAATCCGTGCAGCTCAGCAGTGCCTTGTTCCCCTGCAGTAACCGGGCCGCCCTGCACCTCTATTCCAACACCCTCAACTTTCAGTAAGTAGATCTTGGTATTTGTAATAGGTTGGGGCTGGTCCCAGGTCTGGCCATCAGGGCAACTGAGACCAGCTGAGCTGCCTCCCAGGCAGGGGGTGGGCTAGCTATGGGGAGGAGGCTGTGGATCCCAGCGCTGCCAGGATGCCTCCACACTCACTTGGTGGCTGATGGTTGAAAAGCCAGCATGGGGACAGCACCTGCCTGCTGAAATGTGCTTGGTGTGTGTTGTGATGGAGGAGCTCTGGCCTATGCTGGCTGAGGCTGGTGAAGGGCACAGGGTTGTTTAATCATGTTTGGGAATAGAGAGGTGTGGGTCTGTGGCATGAGCAGATGCTAAGGAGCAGGCCTCTGTGTGACCAAGTGCCTGGAAGCATCTAAGAGAGAGCAGAAGCAAGGAGAATGCATGTTCAGGAAGAAAGGGCCGGCGACCAGGTGGCCTAGTGGACGGGGCAGGTCTGCTGAGGACCAGGAGACCCCGTGTGCCCGGCCCAGGAGAGAGAACTTGGCAGTCATTGTGCCCAGTAGACAGTGGAAAAAAGTGCTTGCAAGTGAAGCTGGGGTGGGCTGCCTGTGGAGGGATGCTAACTGCACTCAGCACCTGTTTAACTGTTGGGAAGGGTGGTGGCCTATGGGCTGGGTGCTAGCAGGAAGGATCTGTGACCCAAATGAGGATGTCTGGTGGGAACTGCTTTGTAGTGAAGTCAACAGTCCTCATGTCTGAGGTCTAACAGGGCCAACCTTCCAGGGACATGGCCACCCGAGCCTGCACGCATACCTCCCCAGTGCAGGCCAGGCCGTGCTGCGTAGGCATGCCTGCCCTTGAAAGGGCTCACCCTCTTTCCTGCGTTCTCATAGCTGTGGTGAGGCAGCTCAGTAAGGGATAGGAAGCAGGGCAGAAAGGGAAGGGGAAGGCTGAATTCAGGGCTTCAGCTCACAAGAAACCACAGAAGGGGAATCCTTAGTAGCCAGGCCAAGGACACAGAACAGGGGCAGGACAGGGGTGGGGCGGGCCACTGTTACCTGGAGCCTTTGCTGGAGAGAGCAGAGGGCAGGCCGCACTGGAAGTGGGGCCACTGGAGGATTCTTTCAGGCTGGACTTGCTGTCTCAGGATGGAGCCTTCAGGGAGAAAACATGGCACCTTGCTTCAGTAGCCATGATGCCAGGAGCAGAGGAGTATGTGCCTCGGGTATGGGTCTTCCTCCTTGCTCTCTGCCCTCTGCCCCCAGGATCAGTGAAGTGGAGCCCAAATACTATGCAGATGGGGAGGATGCCTACGCCATGAAGCGGGATCTCACCCAGATGGCCGACGAGGTGAGAGCGCTGCAATGAAGCCAAGCAAGGCCAGTGGGATCGGCCCTGCGGGCGGTGGGGAGGTGGCAGCACTTGGGAGCCCTGGGACAGTGGCTGGAGGCAAGACCAACTTTGGGTGCCAGCTCTTGTGGCCACATTGCCAGGAGTCACGGCCTCAGTTTCCTAGGCTGGGTTTTAGAGGAGGCTGTCTGCCTAGCAGCAGCCTGGAGGGCGGTGGGAGAGGCAGAGGAAGGAGGCTTTTAGAAGGGAAGTGGGACAGCTGGGGACCAGTGGGTGGCCTGTCTGCTCAGAGGTAGTTCTGAGTCAGGGTTCTGCCCAAGGTGGCAGGGCTGTTCAAGGGCAGCACTTGGTCGTGGGGGCCTCCATGGTAGTCAGTGAACCCAGGGAGCAGTGAGCAAGGCTCCAGCCAGGTGTCCCCACTCAGTCCCCCGTGTCTTGCCTAGCCCTGCTGCTTCTCATTATGCCCCTCCCCTCAGCCAGTGACAGGTCCAGGCTCCCCTTGTCTGGAAACTTAGGCCCTGTCTCTTTGCTCCTGCTTCTCTCTGGGCTCCTGGCGGCAGCTGAGGCGGCACCTGGAGCTGAAGGAGAAGGGCAGGCACGTGGTGCTGGGCGCCATCGAGAACAAGGTGGAGAGCAAAGGCAGTTCACCTCCGAGCTCAGTAGAGGCCTGTCGGGAGGAGAAGGGCCTGGCTGCCGAGGATAGTGGTGGGGACAGCAAGGACCTCAGCGAGGTCAGCGAGACCACAGAGAGCACAGATGTCAAAGACAGCTCAGAGGCCTCCGACTCGGCCTCCTAGAGCCTGCCCCATCCCTTCCTCACCCCACGAGCTTTCACAATAAATTCGCTCCGTGGCACTGGGGAACTTCGTGTGTGTGTGTGTGTGTGTGTGTGTGTGTGCGCGCGCGCGTGAGCGCGCGCATGTGTGCACGTGCACATTTAGAAGGTGTGTTTCTCCAGGTCCTCTGTCTGGTGGGGATGTGAGCCTCACAGCCTTTTGACCCAGGGCATCCTGCCAGGCCCGAGTAGAAGGGAAGAGCTTTGTGAGAGCCTTGGGGGTGGGACTCCCCAGTCTCATGACCTTCAGCAGCTGTGGCCCCAGGGAAGGAGGCCCTGGACTTCTGGGAGAGACCCTGCCTTGGAGGCCTGCTTGGCCACGCTGAATGTGTTTTGTGCAAGCCTGGGCCGCGCAGGCTCAAAGGTCAACAGCAGGCTCCCATTCTTGGGAAAAGCCCTTTTCTCTCCTAATCACATTTGCTTTGGGCCACAGCAGCTACGATGCACACTCGTGAACTTCAGATGTAGACATCCAACTGCTCATTGGGCCTATCTACAGCTGTCCTGTCTGAGTAATGACCCAGCCAGATGCCCAGTTGCTCAAGCCCCATCAGTGGTCCCTGAGTCCTCCCTCTCCTGCCACCCTAATGGTCAGTGAGTCCAGGATACCTCTTGGGTCTGCTCCGTAACCTGAGTTCGTAGTTGAAAATAATTGATTTTTAGTAAAGTTCCCCCCGTTTCTCCTGTTGACATTTTGTATTATTAGTTGGTGTGTTTGTTTCTGTTGATGAGCCAATACTGATATGTTATTGTAAACTGTAGCCCATGTTTCACATTAGGGTCCTTGTCTGTGTTGTACAGTTTCTATGGGGTTACACAAATGCATAAAGCTATGTATCCCTCATTACAATTTCATGCAGAATACAAAACTGGGTATGGTGGCTCACACCTGTAATCACAGCACTTTGGGAGGCTGAGGTGGGCGGATCACTTGAGCTCAGGAGTTGACCAGCCTGGGCTGCATAGTGAAACCCCATCTCCACTAAAGATAGAAAACTTAGCGAGGCGTGGTGGTGCACACCTGTAATCCTGGCTACTCGGGAGGCTGAGGCAGGAGGATCGCTTAAGCCTGGGAGGTGGAGGTTGCTGTGATTCCAGATCATGCTACCACACTCCAGGGACAGAGAAAAAAAAATACGTAATACATATATATCAAAATCCTGTTTTTCATGGAGTCACCCTGACCATAACGCTCGCTCCTGTGTCTTTACTCCCTCCTATTCCCTCCGGCTGCAAAGTCATCACTTGCTGTCCCTAGTCCCTGGGCGGGCCCTGTATTCCTGAGCCGTCTCTATACACAACATCTCTGCCACTGCAGGTGGCACACTGCTGCTCTGCCAGGTTGAAAATTCGCCATACAGGCCTGGAGCTCGGTTCTCGTTGGCTGGCGTGTCGCACGTGACCAGCAGGCAGCCTGCCGCGGTGGAAGCCGAGCCCAGAGCTCGGCAGGGCGGGGCCGGGACCGGAAAGTCGCGCCTCCGCACGCCCACAGCTCTCCAGTTCCCGGCTCGGGCGAGGCTGTGTTCTGATTGGCTCAAGACGTGGGCTTCCCTTGTATGGGCCAGAGGCGGCGCCCTGTCCCGCCCCGTGCCTGGCGTCAGTGTCTTCCGGTTCGCAAGCTGGCGGCAAGCTTCGTTCCCAGGCTCTGATTGGTTCGGCGGCGCCGAGCTCTGCGCGCAGGGGGTCGGGGAAGGGCGGGCATGCGCACTGCGTCTGCCGCGCACCGGCGCCCGTGGAAGGAAGCTGTGCTAGGCTCCCTCGGCGCCCTCCTTCCTCTCCTGCTCGGCCCGCCCTCTGCCCTCTGTCCCTAGCGGGCCCGATGCCTGTCCGCCGCTCCCTCTGTCCCCACGCGGGCAGGTCCGCGCTTTCTGCGGGCTGCCTGGCTTTAGGATGCCTTGAAGGAACAGCGGAGCTAAGGATAGAGCGAGCAGCAGGTGACAGTTGAGTTCAGGGCGTTAAATGCCACACAAGTGCCCTGAAAGCCAGGGCCCAACACTCAGGTTCTAAAGCACGGGCTGAATGGAGCACGGACTGAGCCCTTTCCTGCTTGCCTGAGCCCTGTGCCTGTCTCTGCTGGGTGGAGGGACCTTTGGGGACCAGTCGGGGCTCGGATGGAGGAGCAGGGTGTGTTGGGGTCAGCTAATGAGGGGCTGGGATCCCTGATTCCCCTTGGCCTGAGGCACTGGTGGGACGTGTGAGTCTCCCGAGCGGGAGCAGGCTGGGGTGTGGGTGCGGCTGTGCGCGCCGTGGGCAGGGGCGCAGACTCTCTGGGCTTGCTGGAGTACTCGAACCTCAGCATTTCCGAGACCAGCTGCTGGAAGTCCAGGTCCTGGGCCTGCCTGGGTCTGGCTAGCTCCCAGGCCTCAAAGCCTCAGGTCCTGCAGACCCACACAACAACGTCTTCGAGAAGGGCCTGGGTACTGGGAGAAGGGGGCGGGGAGCTAAGGGAGTGTTTTTTCCTTCTGGGCAAGAGAATTGCTCATAGTTGAAAGGCAGGAAGTACCTGCACAGCCTCCCCTCCTCCCCAGGTCTGCAGGTCAAGGCCATGTGTGCCCGCATTTGCACAGAGCCTGACTCTGACATCCGTGCACATACACGCCTAGGACCCCTGTACTGGTGCCCGCAGGCCCGCTTTCGGGACACACTCCTGGTGCCCAAGTGCTTTGTCCCTCTCCCCAAGTCTACATGCCAGGGATTTCCCTCCCAGCAAATTGAAGCCAGTTGTCTGCTTGGCATGTCAACAATGTCCTGCGTCCTGCCTTCCCGATTTCCCAGAGAAAAGCTGCTGCCCTGTGGTAGTGGGTGGAGGAAGAAGCCCCACCACCCCTGGATGAGGGAGGCCCCAAACTTGCCCCCAGGGTAGCTAAGACCTTACTCTGAGGGGGCTGCCCCCCTCAGGCCTATGATGGGCAGGTGCAGCTGCAGGGGAAGGGAGGCAGAGCAGTCTCTTCCGGCAGCAGGAAGTGGTAACCGCCTATGTGGAAATTGTGGGGCTGAGCAAAAGGGGAACCAGAGCTGAACCCTGCTCCCCCACCAAGGGGTCCTGGAGGGAACAGCAGCCAGCTGCTGAGGTTCTGCTGTCTGGCGATGACTTTCCTTCTCCTCCCCTCCGAACTTTCCACCCCAGTTCTCAAGGCTCCCTGGGAAGGGACGACCCCATCTGATGTCTGGGGGAAGCAGCAACCCAGGGGCAGTCCAGGGCCTGGAGCAGCAGTGGTGTTCATGTACTCGGGCCCTGTGGGCCAGCGGCCCCGCTGCGAACCGTGCAGTCTGGCAGTGGTGACCACGGACAGACGTCTGGAGGTGGTGGCAGGATTGCAGCCAGGGATACCCGCTTACCTCGGGCTCTCACACCCGCCCCAGCTGCTTGGCAGTGGGGCTTTCGGCACAAGGCAGCCTAGGTGTAGGCCCAGTGGGAGGGGACGACAAGGCCAGGGCACAGCGGGGTTGCAAGGGGCGCCCTGCCCCCAGGAGCCCCTCGCGGGCAGTGCGAGGCCTGGGCCGCCCCGCCCCACCGGGAGCCGCGCTGGGGGCGGGGCTGGGCGGAGCCCGCGCAGGGTGCTGGCCGCAGCGCCCCCAAGTCCCGGCGCCGGGCCTGCTCGCGGCCGCGTGGGAGCAGTGGGGCTCGACGGCGCGGCCGCCAGGCCGCCATGGCCGCTCACGGGAAGCTGCGGCGGGAGCGGGGGCTGCAGGCTGAGTATGAGACGCAAGTCAAAGGTGAGAGGGCGCCGGGCGCTCCCGGCCCATTTCCTGCGGAGACCCCCAAGGTCGTGAGGGCGCTCCAAGCGTCCCCGAACTGACCCAGGGCCCGATGCTCTCCTCAGCGACATCTGGAGGGGGTGGAGGAGGGAGCCTGAGCCCCTTGCGGGCTTCCGCACCACGTTTGGCCTCAACCGCCTGCCATCTTCCCTTTCTCCTTTCCTCTCTTCCTTCGTTTGGTGTCTGTTCTCCTTGGGTCTCTGTTCCTCACCCAAGGCCCAGTGGAGACACTGGTGGCCGCTGGTAAAGGGGAGCCGGATGCACCAACGTGCCCCCAGGAGGCAGTGTTCTAGCTACAGTGAAGCCTACCACCTTGATTTGGCTGGGGAGTGGGTAAGGGAGTCTGGGTGAGTGGATTGGTGGAGATCACCTGGCCCTAACCCTACTGCAGTCCCTGGAGTCCCAGCACCTTTTGCCTCCCTTTGGCACTGAGGGGGATCAGAGGCGAGGGCCACTGTCTCTGGGTCAAGCTGGCGCAGTGAGTCTTGGTTGAGAGATTCAGCAGGGCTTGCTTCTCAGCCTTCTGATATTGAACCTCTTCGGGTTCTGATAAACACCCATGTGCAAATCACATTCAAATCAGCTTTGCAAATTCTTAGCCAATTGCTTGTGCCCATCTTATTCAGGGCATGGTAACTCTTGCAAAGGAAAAAGGCAACATCTCAGCGCCAGCAGCTCCTCCATATCACTCTCAATCACTCCATTTTGCCAATTACGGAAACAAGCTCAGAGAGGTGCAGTGACTCGCCCATAGTCACACAGCACTACAAATTCTAGGACATACAATGCAATGACCCTTGAAGTGCCTTTCAACCCAGAGATGTAGGTTCCAACCTCATTATTCAGTGCAAGCAATTTATACCAAAATATGCCCCAGTCCTCCTCCTTTGGAAGACTCAACCTGTGTCCAGAGCCAGCTTGAGGTAACTACACAGGGCGAGCCAGCTTTCCGAGCCTCACCATCATCTTCTCAGATGGAGGTAATGATCTCCATCCTGCTTCCCCAAAATGCCAGGAAACTGAAAGACTTGGAAAACTTCAATCAGCAAATATGGGTCAGTGATTTCCCACTGAAAAGTTGGGGTTTCGAGCAGGACTGTCTAAGGGTTCCTTGCTTCCTCTGGGTCTGCGTCCCAGTCCCTGGAAAAACATCCTACCATGCTACAAAATGGGGGTCACTATCTTGACACCCTAAATTCTCAAAGGTCAGCATAGCCGTGGTTTTGGAGACCATCATCTCTGCTGTTTTGCTTGTCAGCAGAAGTGAGACTGAATGCCTTGCTCACAGGAAGTGCTGGTGGAGCCTGGCCCTGCTCTGTAATTCAGGCAGACATGGATTCCAGCTCGCCTTTGGCCAGATGTTTCCTATACATCTGTGCTATCCCAGCCCCTCCAGTCCCTCCAGCCCCTCTAGCCCTGGCTTTTTACCCAGAGTAAAAACGATTCAGTGAGGACTCTCCTGATTGCAGATGGCGTCGGTGCCCCACCCTCACATTGGCTCACGGGTCTAGTGGCGGAGACATAGACTTTCCATTGTGATAATAAGCACTGCAAAAGGAAAGTGCAGGGTGCCAAGAAGGGGTCAGAAGACGGCCAGCCCTAGTTTAGGGGGAGGTCAGGACAGGGCATGCTGACGAGTTTGTCTGAACTGAGATCTGAAAGCTCTGCCGGGAAAGCCACCAATGCAATCGACTTGCAATTCACGTTTCCTGCTCAACACCAGTGTGCGTGCCCGGATCTGGACCGGGACATGACTTCCAGTCAGTGTTTGCTGCCGGCAATGATGAAGAAAGGCAGCGGTTCTCTCTGCTGGTTCTTTCTGCACTGTTCAGTTATCATAAGTCCCCAGGGATTGTATTCCTCTGGGGGAAGAAGGGCAGGGCAGGCTCCAGAGGGACGGTGAGGCAAGCAGTCGTCTAAGACCTTTATTGGAATGAAATGAAATTTACTTTTTTTTTTTTTTTTTGAGACAGAGTCTCGCTCGGTCGCCAGGCGCCAGGCTGGAGTACAGTGGCACACTCTCGGCTAACTGAAACCTCCGCCTCCCGGGTTCAAGCAATTCTCCTGCCTCAGTCTCCCGAGTAGCTGGGACTACAGGCACACGCCATTGCACCCAGCTAATTTTTGTATTTTTAGTAGAGACGGGGTTTCACCATGTTGGCCAGGATGGTCTCGATCTCTTGACCTGCTGATCCGCTGCCTAGGCCTCCCAAAGTGCTGGGATTACAGGCTCGAGCCACCGCACCCAGCCTGTGAAATTTACTTTTATCAAAAAAATGTTAAACTGGGCTGGGCGAGGTGGCTCACGCCTATAATCCCAGAACTTTGGGAGGCTAAGGCGGGCGGATCGCCTGAGGTCAAGAGTTTCAGACCCAGTCTGGCCAACATGGTGAAACTCTGTATCTACTAAAAACACAAATACGAAAATTAGCCGGGCGTGGTGTTGGGCACCTGTAGTCCCAGCTACTCGGGAGGCTGAAGCAAAAGAATCGCTTGAACCCGGGAGGTGGAGGTTGCAGTGAATTGAGATGGCGCCACTGCACTCCATCCTTGGCGACAGAGCAAGACCCCATCTCAAAACAAAACAAAACATTAAACTGATTCAGTGAGGAGTCTTCTGATTTCAAATGACATAAGCGCCTACCCCACCCGGCCTTTGTAGCTGACCAGTCAACCACAGGAGGCCAGCGTCTGATAGGATGAGAACACTCTCCATCTGTCTCCCTTGGTACCATGGGCTCTGCTCTGCTTTGTCGGAAGTTCCCCCACCCCAGGCTTCCACTTACACAGCTTGATCCCCTGGTGGGAAGAGCTCTCCTCTTCGGTGATTCCATTGGAAGGGTCAGTCTCCTGGGTCCCTCACCTGGCTAGTCTTGTGGGGGCAGGGAGTGGAGGGGCAGAGGGGTGAGTGATGCATGCAGCCAGGGCTGGGGCACCTGGAGTCGACGGAGCCGAGACTAGGGAGCGGACGTTCTCCAAGAGGAGATTGGAGAGGAGGTAGGAATGCTGGGCAGGCCACACCCACAGGGTCTCCATGCAGCAGCCCCTGGGAAGTCACTGGTGGGACAGAAATCCAACGAGATTGAGCTGTTCCCAGCGGAGTCCTCCCCCACTGTTTCCGGTCTGAAACCCTGCAGTCTTTTGCCTGGACTAGTGCAGTAGCTGCCACCTGGGCTCCACCAGGCAGTGCGGTGGGGCCTGTAAATGAAGCACCTCTCTCACTCGGAGTCCAGCTGGGAATTCTCCCTAGACCATGGGCTCTGTGCCATCTGTCCCTACCAGCCTCTCAGATTGTCCCCGGCACGCCTCGTAGCGGGCTCCAGCTTTTTGCTCCAACGATGCGTCTTGTTCTTGACCACCCTCCTTTAAAAAGAGCTCCTTGCCACCCCCCCAGCCCCTGCTTTGATCTTGCTTTGTGTGTCCATCAGCCCATGGACATGTGTCTGTGCCCCCATTCCAATCCCAGCTCCAGGAGGGTAGACACTTGGTCAACCCTCTTTGCCTCTGTATCTAGAACGTGCTTGTCACAGAATGGGTGCATAATCAACATCCTGCTTAATGAAGAAATCAATTCATGTCCCTCCCTCGGGATGTGGGTGGTGATGAGTAGGTGGGCAGCCTGCTGGCCAGAGGCCGATATGTCATCTTATTTACTCGGGACCTGCTTGGGCACTCAGCAGGTGGCAAAAGCGTCTTCTGCAGGTTGCTTAAACTTGCCGGGCGGGTACTTCTTTGCTTCAGGCCTGTGTCAGGGAAGCAGCATTGCCAAATCAAGCCAGTGATAGGGTGCAAAAGGCTGGCAGTATGGGGCCCTGGGTGGGGCTGTCTGTCTGCACGGGTGGGGGCAGGGTGATTAGGAGTGGGAAGTGGGGACAGAAGACAGGGGCTAGCTCCCTCCCCCAGCCTTTCACTTATCAGGCTGGATCAGCTCTCTCTGGCACGAAGCCCTCACTGTGGACTGCCCTTTCCCCTGGGGCCTGAGGGCAAGGTTCCCCAGCCACTGAGACTGCGAGTTAGCTGCAGGCTTGCCCTGAGCAGTGCTGTGATCTGTGTGCTGTGTATCTGTGTGTTTGCAAGGGAGGCTGCCACCTCCTGGGGCCTGGGTACCAGTGGGGAAGGAAGTGGCAGGGGAAGCCATTCAGGGGCTTTCCAGGAACGACGGAGAGACGGGAAGTCAAAATGAAAGGTGCCTGGCTGGTGTTGGGGTGAGACGGGCTGGGTCTGTGTTTCACCCACCATGGTGGGCTTCACCCTTCCCAGGGCGGCCTTGCTCCCTCTCACTCCGGGCCTTTGCACGGCTCTCCCCTCTTGCTGGGACACCCTTCCCCTTCCTCCTCAACCGGGTGGGTCTGGCCATCTCTTGCTAGCCTCAGCAGAGGTCAGCTGGACAGCTGAGGCCAGATCTGCCTGCAGGGGCCTAGCCCTTTCCTCCCCTCTTAGCTCCTGCCTTCAGCTTATGCTAAGTCCAAAGGAGCCCTCAGAGCAGATGGGATCAGGGTCTGTGTGTCTCTGCCTTTCCCACCCCATGCTGGCCTGGCTGACCCAGGCAGGGCGTGCTGGCCAGGCCTGAGCCATGGTCTCCCAACAGAGATGCGCTGGCAGCTGAGCGAACAGCTGCGCTGCCTGGAGCTGCAGGGTGAGCTGCGGCGGGAGCTGCTGCAGGAGTTGGCAGAGTTCATGCGGCGACGCGCCGAGGTGGAGCTGGAGTACTCCCGGGGCCTGGAAAAGCTGGCGGAGCGTTTCTCCAGCCGCGGAGGCCGCCTGGGGAGCAGCCGGGAGCACCAAAGCTTCAGGTAGGTGATGTGCTGGCAGGGGGGCCATGGCAGGGCCCAAGCTCCCACTCCTGGCTCTCAGTGCCCCTCTACCCCCAGGAAGGAGCCTTGCCTCCTGTCACCCTTGCACTGCTGGGCAGTGCTGCTGCAGCACACTCGGCAACAGAGCCGGGAGAGCGCGGCCCTGAGCGAGGTGCTGGCCGGGCCCCTGGCCCAGCGCCTGAGTCACATTTCTGAGGACGTGGGGCGCCTGGTCAAGAAGGTGAGGCTCTCACCCTGGGCTATGGGAGGTGTTCGAGGCTTTGGGATTGGGAGGTGCTGTGGCTGGGAGGGCACCGGAGGCCAGGTGGGGACCAGGCAGAGTGAACCTGTGTGCCCCCCAGATGGGGCTTGAGCTGGGCAGAACCTCGAGTGCTGGTGGGTGCCTCTCTGAGCTGTGGCGTGCTCACCCTTGCCTCCACCTCTAGAGCAGGGATCTGGAGCAGCAGCTGCAGGATGAGCTCCTGGAGGTGGTCTCAGAGCTCCAGACGGTGAGGACAGGGCTGGGGAGGGGCCCATCCCAACAGTTCAGGGAGAAATGATACTCATTAGGGAGGAAAATCCCCAGACCATCACATTGCCCCAAACCAGGCTCAGGGAGAAGTGTGCACCTAGGGGAGTCCTGGGTTTGGGGGTTAAGGGGCAAAGGCCCCCTCTCCCTAGGCACAGGGCATTAGGCCAGGTGCTCACATGGGATTGCCCAGCTCTGAGGTTCAAGTTCCAGAGGGGCGGGGGTGGAGGGTTGGGGAGTGGCTGGGCTGTGACCTTCAGCAGCGCCGCCTTGCTTTGGGTGTCCCTGCAGGCCAAGAAGACGTACCAGGTGTATCACACAGAGAGCGTGAATGCTGAGGCCAAGCTCCGGGAGGCCGAGCGGCAGGAGGAGAAGCGGGCAGGCCGGAGTGCACCCACTGCCACCGCTGCGGCCACTGAGGCAGGGCCCCTCCGCAAGACCTCCCTCAAGAAGAGTGGGCGGCTGGTGGAGAAGGTGGGCCTGGAGGGCACCTCAGAAGCAAGCCTGTGGGCTATGGGCCCTGACTAGGACCTGCTGTGTTGAGGGGGAGGCAGGGCTGGGTGCAGGGGAGGACTGCACCCCTTCAGCAAGACCCTTCTCACCTGCGAGTGGAAGGCCCGCACCCACTCACCCTGCTGGCTCTGGTGACTTCCCCAGGCTGGGGGTGGGAATGGCAGGACAGTGCCATCAGGTTCCAGGGATTCCATATGGAAGGCTCTTGGGGCCTGAGAGAGCGGGGAGAGCAGTTGTCTGGCCCTGGACAGCCTCATGCAGCCTCTGCACGCTCCAGGCGGGGCCCCTGCAGCTCTGCTGTTCCACCAGCCATCCTGTAAGGTTTCAGAGGGGCGAGAAGACACTTAGGGTGGGTGATCGGGTGACACGCATGGAGAAAGGGTCATCGAGGTGGACCCTGTAGAGAGAGTGGGGAGGTTGAGAAATGCGTGGATGGAGTGGTCAGGCTGTGTGGGGCTGGGGGTGATGGTCTGGGACTCTGGGAGCAGAGGGAGCCGAGCACCTCAAGTGTTCTTAGAGGAAATAGCAGAGTTTGGCTGTGTCGGGGGAAGGTCTCCCTGGCTGCTGTGGTGAGAGTGCCAACTTTAGCCAGGCACGGTGGCCCACGCCTGTAGTTTCAGTGCTTTGGGAGGCTGAGGTGGGTGAATCAACTGAGGTCAGGAGTTCGAGACCAGCCTGGCCAACATGGTGAAACCCCGTCTCTATTTAAAAAACAAAAATTAGCCGGGCATGATGGCAGGTGCTTTTAATCCCAGCTGCTTGGGAGGCTGAGGTGGGATAATTGCTTGAACCTGGAAGGCGAAGGTTGCAGTGAGCCGAGATTGCGCCACTGTACTCCAGCCTGGGTGACAGAGCAAGACTCTGTCTCAAAAAAAAAAAAAAAAAATAGAATGCCAGCTTTAGAACCCAGGTGCCAGCAGGTTCTGTCTCATGGTCCTTGATGATCTATCCCCACCCTTTGGGGTGCTCGTTCCCCCTCAGCCCCAGCCTCCCCAGAGGCCAATGACTGCTTCCAGCTACACACCTGTGTGCTGGCTCCAAGCTGGGTTTCTGACGCACCCTCCGTGGTGAGGTGTCATGCACACCCTCCACTCATCAGGTATCTGTGAATAGTTCTGTGAGGAGTGGCAGAGCGCTGCTGGGTGAACAACCGGGCAGTCAGGTCACCTTCTGGCACTGGGTTGGGCATTCTGTGGACTGTGGCGTGAGGAAGGCAGCAGGACTTCTGGGCTGTGCTGAATTCACGGGACCTGGGGGATGTTGGGTGTAGCTGTCCACAGTGGGAGGGGACGTGATAAAAGGCACTGGCTACATTCATGACCTCGGTGGGCTTGCATTGTCTTGAGTAGCGGCAGGCCAAGTTCATGGAGCACAAACTCAAGTGCACAAAGGCACGCAACGAGTACCTGCTGAGCCTGGCCAGCGTCAACGCCGCCGTCAGGAACTACTACCTGCGTGACGTCTTGGACCTCATGGACGTGAGTCCTTGGTGGACGGGTGGGAAAAGGTGCCCAGTGCCCTGGGGCTGGGAGGCCGAGGCTCCAGGGCCCACACAAGCATGTCCTTGTTTCCCTCAGTGCTGCGACACAGGGTTCCACTTGGCCCTAGGGCAGGTGCTCCGGAGCTACATGGCTGCTGAGAGCCGCGCCCAGGCCTCTCAAGTGCAGGGCCTGGGCAGCCTGGAAGAAGCCGTGGAGTCCCTGGATCCTCCAGGAGACAAGGCCAAGGTGCTCGAGGTGCACGCTATCGCCTTCTGTCCCCCACTGCGCTTTGATTACCAGCCCCACGACGGGGATGAGGTGAGGGTCACCCCCTGCTGGGCTCAGCATTCTTTGGCCTTCACTAATGGCAGGTGGTGGGGTGGAATCCAAGCTCTCCGTGGTCCCAGGCAGTGCAGCTGCTACAGAAGTGTCCAAGGAGGGCAAGACACTTAACTGTTCACCCCGTGCAGCAGGTGGCCATGTGGCTGCCCGTACATTGTTCTAGGCTGGTTTCATTCTGTTTTTAAATTTTGTGACACAAACTTGGGAGGAAATGAACCATACACGCGGTAAGATGGAATCGGTTGTTTTTGTTGTTTGTTTTTTTTTTTGAGACGGAGTCTCACTCTGTCACCCAGGCTGGAGTGCAGTGGTGTGAGCTCGGCTCATGCAACCTCGGAATCGGGTTTCTTTACACTTCTCCCTCCAGCTGCTTTTTCCTTTAGCAGTTCACCCTGATGGGTGTTGGTGATGACCTGGGGTTACATCGGGCCCCTTTCCGAAGACTCCAGCCTCACCAGGGCTTCCGCCGGGACACAGCCGCTCCCAAACCCACCCGTCATGTTCCTAGCTCCACCTCTAGTCTTCCTACGGATGCCTCTGGCGCCCCCTTCAAGCGTCAAGCAGCCGTGTTCCATTGGCCAGTGACGACCAAGCACCACCAGCATCTCCCACAGCCACCACATGCTTCCCTGCCTCTTCTTCTCCCAGCGAGTTTATCCCAGAATTTTTGGCTCAATGAACATTCAATGTTTAAATCACCATGACAACAGGTACTGTTGGCAGCTGTGCCATGTACTATTAGGATCACATGTCCTTCAGCTTGGACAGTTTTTCTTCCGGAATTAATAACAGCCTCGCCTCAGGAATGCTGCTCAATGGAACACTGTCCTCCGCACCAGGCACCCTGTGGGGCCCACCTTCTCCTCTGTGTTGCCCCCAGAGCCCCCCAGTCTGGACGGCTTCACTTCTAGGCCTTCTCTGAAGCTGCTGGCCGGGAGCTCCCCTGCCCGGTGTTCGGTTTCTGGATTCCACGGCAGCATTTCTTGGTTTGATACCCTTGTTTTGGTGGAAGCCTTCACCAAGGGTTTCCTGACTTTGCACATCTGAAAATGTTC